GGTCAGATTGCTCTGCATGCCTTCTATAAGGGCACTGATCCCGTTCACGTCCCTCAGGACCTCCTAAAGGCCCCACCTTTCCAAACTCCATCACACTGGCGTTAGGATTTCCACATGTGAATTTGAAAGGGACATACATGTGCAGTCTGTAGCATCCATTCTTCTGTTGGACACCTGGGCAGTTTTCCAAGATTGGGTAATGATGAGTAGAATTGCTGTGAACATCCACTAAGTCACAGAAACTTAGAGCTGACTATTTTGGAGGGAAGACTGAGGCCAGGAGAAGGAGGTCGCCTTCCTGATCAGAGCCAGGAGGCGGGACACCTGGCAGATGAGCACCAGACTGCGCCTCTCCTCTCCTCCTCCCCCCGGAACCGTCCCAGCCGGGACCCAGCGCCTGGCTGGGAATTAGGCCAGGCCCCGAGCAGGGGTGGTGAGCAGGAGTTTCGGTCAGAGCTCGGTCATCTTTGATGTTGTTCACTCGAGTATGACTCCCCAGCATTTATTTGCAATTAAGGAGCTGGTTCCTAATTAGGCTGATGGCTAGACCGCAGCCTTGGAGCCAGGAGGAGAAAAAGAGACTGTCCCCCTGCGCCCTGAGTGGCAGCTCCGGCTGCAGATGGGAGGTGAGGTGTGGAGGGCGGAATGGGGCTTTGTTTCATTTTGGGGGTGCCTGCCCTCTCACTCAAAGACAGCGTGCCAGCTTCTGTCAGACACTGCAGGAGATGTGAATACACACATGTATGTATGTACGTGTGTGCAGTGAAATAGTGCCTCAGCAGTACACCTTTGTTCTAGACATTTACTCATTGCTTCATTATTTTGCTTCTGAATACCCATACCCAGGCTGGGAGCTAAACCTTAACAGTTCCCAAAGGGCATGGCTGTCCGCGGTCCTATTGTAACCTCCATGGCGGTGACTGTGGGTGGGTCATTCTCCCAATGCCCCTGCGGATCCCTGGTCTCTGAAGCGTCAGGCCGGTGCTGGGACCAGTAAACAGCCGGCTACTTCTTTTTGCACCCAGTTGTCTGCTGCTGGGAGTTTCCAGAAAACCCACAGAGAGGCTGTGTGAGTGAGGCACTCAGTGATGGATAAGCCTGTTTCCAAATGGGGAGACGGAGGCTTGTCCACAGCCACACATGTAGTCCGTGGTGAGAACCTTATCTAGGTCTGCCTCAATGCAGTCTATCGCAATTCCGAAATCTTTAGATCAGGTGACAAGCATTAGCTTAGAATTCTGAGGTGTCAAGTTCTGGTCCCCGTTCTGCCACACCCTACTGCGTGTCCTAAGGTGAGTCACCCTGCACCCAGGGGCGCCATCTTTCGGGCACAAGGACATTGGATTCAATCAGTGGTTCACACAGGCTAGTTTTAGGACTAAGTTTTCATTGGTCCATCATGAAAGAAATAAGAAAGTTTCTTATAATCTAAATGATTTTCAACCCTTTTCATCTCATGGCGCACATAAATCAATTACTAAAATACTGCAGCATACCAAAAATATACATATGTACCCTATACATCCAGAATAGGTGTAATGTTGATGCCCTTTTTGCTCCAAAGTGACTTTAAAAAAAAAAAATCAGGTGCCTATACTTACATATAAAGATTTATAGCACCAAGAATTAACTAATCAGATGCAACCTTATTATGCAATGTGATCAATAATATGCAACTCTATTATATGACCTAAATGGTTCAAGAAAGGGCATTCACACCGGTTGGCTATTGTTGTGTTGGCTATTGTCATTTTTGTTTTGACAATCTAAAGGAAAATAGGTCAGTGCCCCTGACTAAATAGTCAGGTAGTGCATGTTTTTAAAATTGTTGTAGCACATTGGTTGAAAATTGCTGATCTAAAGATATTAACTTTAAAATTTCTGACTTTTTTTATTTTTATTTTTTATGTTTAAAAAATATATATATTTTTTTATTGGTTTTGTACAGATAGGAAGGGAGAGAGATAGAGAGTTAGAAACATCAACGAGAGAGTCATCGATCAGCTGCCTCTTGCACACCCCCTACTGGGGATGTGCCCGCAACCAAGGTACATGCCCTTGACCGGAATCGAACCCGGGACCCTTCAGTCCCCAAGCCGACGCTCTATCCATTGAGCCAAACCGGTTTCGGCAAAATTTCTGACTTTTTTTTTTAATATCAAATTATACTTCTGTAATTTTGTTAGGGTTAAGTTACACTTTTTAAAATTATTTTTCCCCCCGTTGATTTCAGAGAGGAAGGGAGAGCGAGAGACAAATAGAAAAACAACGATGAGAGAGAATCATTGACCCATTGCCTCCTGCACACCCCGCACTGGGAATCAAGCCCGAAACCCGGGGAATGTGCCTGACTGGGAACCGAACCATGACCTCCCCATGCTGGCTGGGCAAATTACACTTTCTTTTGTGCTAGTGATATTAGATGGGGATTTTTAATGTCATGACAAAATAAAACATTCCCAACCTCTCTGTTACACAGTGTATTGGTTTGGGGGTCCCTGGATAAGATGCTGTCACGGGGGAGTCCTGAGACCCCAAGAGCTGGATGGGGATGGGGATTTCCCCAGAACATGGTGCTGGCTCACCAACTGGCTTGTTCTCAGATCAGACCTGCAACTCAAGTCCTTGCCCACCATCCCCTTCGGCCCGGGCCATGGCCCCCACCTGCTGAGCAGGGTTCTGATGGGGTGAGGACAGGGAGCCAGCAGTTGAGATGTATTTTATCTCTTTCCCTTTGAGTGGTTCGGTTCACAGTAGGGATACATGCAGCCTTGGGACAGACACAGAGAGAATGAGACCCACGCCTTCCCGTGGGAGAGTCTAGCCTGGCCAGGGGCAGTGACACCTGCTCAGGCCGAGGAGGGGCTGAGCCTGTCATTGCACAGGAGGGAGGGGTCAGAGGGCTTTTCTAAGGCCTCAGTCCATCTCCTGGAATTTGGAAGACTTGGCCAGGAGCCCAAGCCGGAGGAGGTGTCCCCTAGTCTGCTCAGCCGGAGGCCGGGGGTGTCCAGGCAGAGTCCCTGAGCCAGAGAGCTGGGGCGGGCAGGTTGGGCCCTCGGCAGCCCTGTGAGGTTTGTCCCCAAGCACATTTCACCATCCCTAGGGTAAAGCCACGAACACAGGTCTTGATTTGGGGTGGGAGGGAGGGGGGTTACAAATGATCAGGGGGCATTTGGCTTGGCTGGTGGGAAGAGGGGACAGAAAGTCCCATCTGGCCTCGGATGGAAAGCCTTATGGGAGATGGGAGAGAGGAAGTTCCCACCCCCACCCTGGTCCCAGTATCCTCACCCTGACTCCCCTCCCTCCACCGGGAACCTGCTTCTCTCTCTTGTACAATGGAGCAGCTCACCCTGGGGCAGAGGTGGCTTTTCCTGAGCCTTATCTGGGAAAGGGGGGTGGCAGGAATCCCGCACTCGGTGACACTGCAGGGAGTCCTTGGGGAGTGAAGGACTTTGTTTGGGGGTGGGGCAGAGTGACTCACAGGCTGTGGGTAAGCACCTCTGGGACACACAGACCATGAGAACAGTCACGGTTACAGATAGGGACACTGAGGCTTAGGGAAGGGGGGACTTGTTCAGTGTGCATGGGATTTAGGGGGGAGTCTGCCTGGGTTTGGAGAAGCACTCCAGCCTGGAACTAATGCTGGCTACAGGACTCAGCAGTGTGTGCCCTCCGCCTGTTAGGGCACCTCCCCGGGCCTCAGTTGCTGTGCCTGTGAAATGGGGTGATAACAGAGGCGAACCAGGGCTGTTGTGCAGAAGGCGCCTCGCTCACGGAAGGCACTGAGGGGTCCCTGTTGCCTGTCCTGTTGCCCAGAGTTCTCCAGACAAAGCTTCTTTGCTTCTTCACCTCCTTCTGCCGAGAGCACCATGACATTCTTTGCTTGGTGAGGAGGTCAGTGCTGGAGTTTGATGGCCAGGCTGGGATGGTGCTCGGGAACTCCCAACCAGTGCCAGATGGGCAGGTGGGTGGATGGATGGAGAGGGGCAAAGGCTTGGGTGTTCCTGGCTGCCCACCTGCTGGGACTGGCCTCGTGCCCACAGCTTGGTCGTTCACCGTGGGGTCGAGTTGTCTGTCCGCTGGCTAAGGGGCAGGTCAGCGAGGGCAGGAGTCGGGCCTCTTTGCCCGCGTGACAATCAGCTGGACCCAGGCGGGCCCTGGACGGAGGGTGTGAGGTAAAACGATGCTGCCTCAGGAGCTGGGCTGGGACCTGAAGCCAGTCCTAGAAGGAGGGGCATGCGCTTTGGGGCTGTGCCCAGCACAAGGCCGCTGCAGAGCCGGCAGCTTGTGGGAGGCCCCTCAGGCAGACAGCTTCCTGCTGGGTAGCCGGGTGGAGGAGGTGTCAGGGGGCCTGTCACCCTGCTGCCCGGGGCTTGTGGGTAGTAGGGCTGAGCTGACTGTCAGAGCTGACCTCGCTCGGGCTCCTCGGTGAGGTGGTTAGCAGGGTTTTTTCTCCGGTTTAGTTGGACTTTGGTCAGTGTCTCTTGGATAACAGGTGCCATCGAGCGCCTTCGCTGTGTTCTCATCAGGCCTCCAGCGGAATCCTCCCTCTGAGCGAAAGCCCTGGCCAGGGCCCGTGTGGGGACATGTCACCTGGCTAGGCATCCTGGGTGCCCACCTGCTCCTCAGAGCTGTGAGCTCAAAGGGAAAGAGCAGATGCTTTTAAAGGGCTTCCGAATTAATCTGAGAAGCTGCCCGCACAGGAGAGCAGCGAGGATGGGGCTGCGCTTCAAGGCAGACTGCAGCGTGTGTGTGCGCGCGCGCGCGTGTGTGTGTGTGTGTGTGTGTGTGTGTGTGTGTGTGTGTGTGTAGGGGCAGGCGCCCTCCTGTGTGTGAAACTTCCGAGGACAGCCTGGCACCCAGTACGTGCTGCTGACGTCTGTGTTGACCGCTAGAAACACCACCCAGCCCCCACCGTCCAGGCAGGAGCGCCACCCCCGCACCCGCTTCCCCAGCCCGAGTAACTGACTGACACCCCGCGCCCTGTGCTTGCCCCGCAGACGCCAGCATGTCTCCGGACGCCACCAAGCCGAGCCACTGGTGCAGCGTGGCCTACTGGGAGCACCGGACGCGCGTGGGCCGCCTCTACGCGGTGCACGACCAGGCCGTCAGCATCTTCTACGACCTACCTCAGGGCAGCGGCTTCTGCCTGGGCCAGCTCAGCCTGGAGCAGCGCAGCGAGGCGGTGCAGCGGACGCGCAGCAAGATCGGCTTCGGCATCCTGCTCAGCAAGGAGCCCGACGGCGTGTGGGCCTACAACCGGGGCGAGCACCCCATCTTCGTCAACTCCCCGACGCTGGGCGACGCCCCCGGCGGCCGCGCCCTCGTGGTGCGCAAGGTGCCGCCCGGCTACTCCATCAAGGTGTTCGACTTCGAGCGCTCGGGCCTGCTCCAGCACGGGCCCGAGCCCGACGCCGCCGACGGCCCCTACGACCCCAACAGCGTGCGCATCAGCTTCGCCAAGGGCTGGGGGCCCTGCTACTCGCGGCAGTTCATCACCTCCTGCCCCTGCTGGCTGGAGATCCTGCTCAACAGCCACAGATAGCGGCCGCCGCCACGCCCGCCCGCCGCCCCCCCCACCACCACCACCGGGAGGGCCCGTGCCAGAGACACAGCCCCCACGGACGAAACCCCCCCCAAAATATCATCTACCTAGATTTAATATAAAGTTTTATATATTATATGGAAATATATATTATACTTGTAATTATGGAGTCATTTTTACAATGTAATTATTTATGTATGGTGCAATGTGTGTATATGGACAAAACAAGAAAGACGCACTTTGGCTTATAATTCTTTCAATACAGATATATTTTCTTTCTTTTCCTCCTCCTCCCTCTTTTTTTTTTTTTTTTTTTCAAGAAAATGATACAGCAGAGCTAGGTGGAAAAGCCTGGGTTTGGTGTATGGTTTCTGAAATATTAACGCCCAGACAAAATGCTAATACCAGTCACTCATTGATAATAAAGTATTCGCATTATAGGTTTTTTTTTTTTTTTTTTTTTAACTGTCTTCTTTGTAACAGAGAGGGACACGCATGGTGGGTTTCTGACCCATCAGACATCCTGAACTTGGACCGATCCCTTTGCCAGGTAAAGAGTAGAGGGGATAAACTGAAAAGGGAGGAAGGGCATGCTTACTTTTAAGACCACAGGAATTCCGTTGTTCCTTCTTCCCCGTGGCTGTGGTGTGTCCACAGGGTGGGGAGGAGGAGGGAAAGGGGGCAGTATTGGGGCCCCATCCCATTCGGATGATGGAGGCGCCTGCGCTGGCCCAGAGGAACGTCCAGTCGGATGGTGGAGACTCGGGCCCACGCCTCCCGTCTCTGAGCTGACACAGGCCAAACACTACTCACTCTGAGGGGGAAGCAGGTGGTGGCCTTAGGCTCACTTACCACCTTGTCGAACCCCGGCTGATGCTCCTCCCAAGCCGCCCTCCCACCCGCCTCTGAGCAGCTCAGCGTCCACCCACCTGGGGTACACTCGTGAGGTATGCAAAGGCAGGTGGCTTCTTTTCACTCAGTTACAGGGATGAGTTGAGGTTCCGGAGGGGGAATGGCTCACTCACGAGGCAGATCTAGGTTGGAAGTTGCATCTCCCTGTAGGCCCAGAGCCATGTTCCATCAGCTTCCTCTGATGAAGAAGATTCAGAGAGGAAAGCCGCCTTGGCCGAATAAGAAGGGGAGTGTTACGTTGTACAGTACATCTTCCTTGGAGAGTTAACGGCATAGTAAATGCTCGGAGAAGTCCCGTGGCTTCTCTTGCTGCGTAATACACTGTCCTAAAACTGCAGCTTGAAACAGCTAACATTTATTATCTCACAGTCTCTGCTCTGGGGCCGTGGGAGCAGCTCCGCGGGGTGGCTCTGGTTCAGGGTTTCGGGAGGCGGTGGTGGTCTGAGGTTGAGTGGGGGCTGCAGGACCCATTTCCAAGCTTATTCCTGGGGCTGTTGGCTGAGGCCTCACCATGGAAGCTTCTCCATCCGGCCACTCAGGAGATGGCTTCCCCCGGGGCACACGACCCAAAAGAGACCAAGAGCAGAGCTGTCACCTCTTAAAACCGCATCTTGGAAGTGACATTCCATCACTCCTGCCTATTCTGCTGGTCACCCAGGCCATTCCTGCTAACGTGGAAGAGGCTACACAGGAGTGTGAATGCCAAGAGGTGGGGGTCAGAGCCACTGTGTCCAAAGAAATGTCTCATTTCACTTCGTTTCTGGAAGTCATTTGCCAGCAGACCCCACCCCTTCCCTCCTGTCCCCATAGGAAGGCGCAGGAGTGCCTGCGGGCAGGTTGGTTACTGCTGACAGCTGGCATGCCAGGGCCCCTCACTGAACCCTGCCCTGAAGATGCTCATCCAGATGCCTGCCTCGCTGGTGTGCCCTTGGTGTGGGTCCATGGAGGCACCCGGGGCCACACAGCAGGATCCCAGGCGAGACTTTGTTCAGGAGCCAGTTCCGTGGGGGAGCTGAGGAAGGAGCGGGGGTCTCCCTGGAAGACTCAGTACTTCGGGCAAGTTGACAGGCTAGGAGTGGCAGAGGGGGCAGGAGCAAAGGGGCAGTGCCATAGGAGTGGCAGAAAGCAGGAGGCATCCATTGTGTAGAGGAGGCAGGAGAGGGGAGTTTTCAGACACGTGTGCCTTCCAGCTCCACCATCTACAGGGTGACTTCAGAGACTTCGTAAGGTTCCTCGGTGTTCAGAGGGTAAGATTATTCCCAGCTGAGGAGGAGGTGTGACTCAGAAGAACTAAGCACATCACGTGGTACCTGGTTCATCATCAGTGCCCGTCATCTGTTACCAGTACTGGGCCCGGGCTGGAAGGGCGGTGGGGAAGCTGAGGCCTGAAGGGGCAAGTGCTTATCTCAAGCCGGGTGATCATGGATGCTGGGAGGTGACCGGGCCCCCTGCTTCCCGCCACGGGGTCTGCTGCATGCGGACCAGGTGGTGGCATCCCTTCCCCATCTGCCAGGTTCTCAGAGGTGCCCACCAGGCAGAGCACATGATTTCCTTCTAGAGTGAAGCCTCCTGGACCGGTTTATCACGGAAAACTGTCCGGGTGTCCCAGGTGGCCCTGACTCCTTTCACCCCTGCACTCGGCCACCCTTGGGCTTGGCCCTCCTGGGAGGCACAACTCCCTCCGCTGCTCTGCCCCTCCCAGGCCCTGGTCCTGAGCACGGAGCAGAGCTGGGCAGTGCTACTTGGGGATGGGCTAGGAACCACTGGATTTTTTTTATCTTTTCAAGTCGATAATGAATAACACTAACGGTGTGTGAGCTCTTCCTGTGTGCTAGGGGTCTTTTATGCATCTACTCTTCACAAGAACCTCTGTGCAGTGTTCTCTGTTATCCCCCCTTTTCAGAGGGAGAAACATGCTCACATGTACTGTCCTTTGGGCTCCTCCTAGGTGCTAGCTGTGGCGGGCTCTGCGGAGTGGCCTGTCCCTTGGGGACAGCCTGTGCTGCAGGGCTAACCTCAGGGGACCCAGAGCCATCAGCCTCACAGCTATTCTGCCTCCCAGACCTGCCCTGCTTAGAGGCGGAGGACCTCCCTGGGGTCCTTGGGTGGCCTCCAGTGCCAGGGAGAGGTCCCGTGGCTGCCTTTCTCCGTGGGGGTCTGAGGGTCCAATGCCAGCCCCTCAGTTTACAGATGGGGAAACAAGTCCCAGACAGGAGAGGCTGAGCTACTGTCACACATGGTGGCAGGACTTGCCTTCCTTCTCCCTCGCCCAGGCTCAGTGCACCTGCTAACTGGTTTCCCCCAGCCCACCCACATAGCTGGTGCCTGGGGCCTGAAGGAGACACCTTCTAAGCAAGGCCTGGTCTCTGGAGAGCTGTGGGAGCCTGGTCCCTGCAGGCTCCGGGGAAGCAGCGTGGGTGGGGCTTACTGCCCCCAAACACACACTCAGGCCTAGAGTGGATGGGGATGGGAGTGGGGAGACAGGATATTCTGCAATAGACTTTGTCTTTGGAGAAGGGTTCGTCCATCCCTTCCTCCTCTCCATTTCACAGTGCACCCCCATCTCCAGCCCCGCACCCTCCTGCCTCAGTCTCCCGGAGTGCCGGGGGGGGGGGGAGTGGAGGGGTTAATCCACTGGAGTGGGAGAAGCAGAGCTGGGAGAGGGGACCCAGCAGATCTGTGTGTATGCCTCCTGTGAGAAAACGCTAGGCCCAGAGAGGGGTGTGGGTAACCCCAGGTCACACAGCAAATGTAGGGCAGAGCTGAACCCAACGCTTAGCTCCCGGGATTTCCGGTCTGGGTGCTTCCTGTCTGGATTCCTTCAGTGCTTTGGAGGACATGCACATACATCTATCTCTTCACCTCTCCCGCCCCGGAAGCTCCCATCCCCCACACACCTTTCAGGGAGCTTAAATGTTCCAGGCACCTCTGGCTGCAGCTGCCTGATTATAATCCTGACTTGGCCACTCACCAGCCATGTGATCTTAGGCACGTGACTTAGCCGCTCCATGCAGCGGTTTCCGCATCGGAATAATAAATAAGAAGAGCATCTACCTCCTGAGGTTCTTGGGAAAGTTAAATGAATTCACGCATGTTACACACTCAGAACTGGAGTGTATGGGGCGTTCAGGAGAGCTCGCTGTGTGGGTGCCTGAAGGGGCAGCTCAGGGAGGTGAGAAAAGCTGATGAATTTGGGCAATTGCCTCACCTGTGAAATCCTCCGTTTCCTCATGGGGCAAGTAGGGTCGTGATCCACTGGCATGTCCCCAGTCTGTGACACCAGGGCCACCACCACTCCAGACCCAGCCCCCACAGCTGCTGTGGCTTCTTAACTGGGTCTCCTGCCCCTCCTGCCTCCTCCAAGTCCCTCTCCTCCCCCTCAAGCGGTGGTCTGCACTCAAACCCGACAGTGTGCCCCTTCTGTGTGACCGTGACCTCTCCGAGGACTCTGTACCCTCAGGGTAAGGAACTACCTCTTACAGTGGCCCTAAAGGAATCTGCCCCAGCTCTACCTGCCAACCCCTTCAAATACCACACTCCACACTGCTCTGTCTCTCAGTCTGCCTCCCTGTCTCCCTCTCTCCCAGGTTCTTGTCCAAGCTGCTCCTATCCAGATCATGCCCCAGCCCACCCAGTCCAAACATGGACCACACAGCTGACCCTTTCTCTCCCCAGGGAGTCTCCTGGAAGCCAGCGATGTCTCATGTACCATTTGCCCCCGTGGTCCTGGGCCCCTGCGTGTCTGTGGAATGAAAGGGTCGTGGATATCATGGATGCGGGTGTGTGTTTTATAAATGCTAATGGACTAAGCAGGCACCCACGGTGTGTGTGTGTGTGTGTGTGTGTGTGTGTGTGTGTGTGTGTATTAGAATCTGTGTCTCCATGACAACCCCCAGCCGGCTTCCCCTTACAGGCCCTAGGAACCCTCACCCTCTCCCCTTTCCTCGGGCTCTGGGCTCTGGGGGCTCTTCTGCAGCGTATTCTGACCTCTCAAGAGTGTGGTAGCAAGAATGCCTGGCTGGGGGTGGTGTCCCCTTGATATTGTAGCACACAGAGTCAGAGAACATCCACCCTGGGAAAGGTTCTTA